ATAAACTTCTGGATCCTTAGTTGAAGCATTTCTCATGGGAATATATGTTCCATCAACTGCTCCAATTACATTCTTAAGTCCTCCCAAATTTTCAAATTACGAATGAACTTTTTTACGATTTTCTAAAACAGACCACTTGATAAAGAGTTTTTTTTGTGATATGATTGCTTGAATAATATGTTTAGTATAAAGAATTACTGTCCCTTCTCTTATATTCAAATCTTGAACAATGTTCAAATAAACTCCTAGTAGATCTAAGTCGACAAAGGAATACAGCTAATTGAAATTCAACACAAACTTGAGGTTTATTTCCTTGTGGTAAAAATACAGGATAGTGGCGTATAAGATCTGCTAATTGTTGAAAATGATGTAAAAACATTTGCAAGAGTTTTTTAAATCGAACAGGATCATAGGATGAAAGAACATTTCGCCACCAATGCTTTGATTTTGCTACGTAGTATATTCGTGACTTTAGATATCGTGTAGTTAATTGTTGTACTAAAGTAGCTTTTAAAATAATACTCTCTTCTTTCTCACTCGAAGTTTCCTCCTCTTCTTCAAGTTCCTCTTCTTCAAGCTCATCTAGAAAGATTTTTAACAATAATACATTTTGAATTCGGTCGATCAAAAATTCAAAAAATCGTGCTCAATTGTAACTATGATTTGATTGGTTACTTTTTTTTCTGATTCGAACGATCTGATCTAGAACTGAACAGGGCTAATAAGTCTCTGGTATATTAAAAATTGCGATTATTATTAATAATAATTAATTAAAAAATAAAACTAAATAAAACTAACAAAAAAAATTAAAATTAAAAATAAAAAAAATGAAATTAAAAATAATAAAAAATAGGATGAGAGAAAGGGGAGTCGAATATGAATTTAAAAAATGGAGAAATAAAAAATATAATAAAAAAAAATTAAAAATTAAAGATAAAAATAAAAAAAATTAAAAATTAAAGATAAAATTAAAAAAAAATTAAAAAATAAAATTAAAAAAATCGAGGAGGTAAAAATAAATTAAAAAAGAAATAAAAAGATTGGAGGATAAAAATATAATAAAAAAAATTTAAAAACAAAAATTAAAAAATAAAATAAAAAGATCGCAAGGGATAAAAAACATAATAAAAAAATTAATTTAATTTGAGTGAATTAAAAATAGTTGTGATATTGACCCTAATAAATTCCATCTGATTATCTATAACTGAGGAGGTGTGATATTTTTTATAGTTCACATATTTTTTATTAATAATAACCTTTTTTTCGAATTTGTAGATTAGGAATGATTTCGCTCTTTAAGATAAATGTGAGCGTGATACTTCAGATGGATGATCCTTCAGCTCATCATGATGGCACAATCAGATGCGTGATGAAATTTTCTTTTTATTATTATCTCTATTGTTCATTTTCTAATAAATAACATTTTTTACAAAAACTTTGTTTTCTTACTATGCAGTAACTGCAAAGTACCTATTGTGCAGTGATTAAGCTACTATTAAGTAAGGTAATAACTATATATTTACTATATAGTCACTTTGCAGTTACTGCATATTAAGGAATCCAAGTTTCTGTAAAGTTTCTAATTTTGATTTTTTTTTAATTTATTGATTGATAATATTACAAAAACAAAATTTTAATTATTATAATCAGTTCTTTCAGTTCAATAAAAATTATTATACTGGTTCTTTCAGTTTAATCATGTTGTAAGAATTTTTTATTGGTATTCGTTCACGAAAGGTAAAATAAAAATAATTTCAGTTATATTATCAAAAAAGAAATTCAAAGAATATAATTTAAAGTTCTGTAGCGTTCTCTAATTGATTTATTACTTTTCTAAATTTATATCAAATATAATTATACTAAGTTGCTAACTATATTCCTGAATTTTCTAGATTTATTATATCCAGCTTTGTTCAGGTTGTATCTTATTACATCGCACAAAAAAAATATTTAAATTATTGCATTGCTCTTAATTATAAAATAGAGAATCAAATAGGGAGAATGGTTCAAAAAAAGTCAGTTCTTGAATGATTATAAATAATTATTGAATTGAAATCGAGTCAGCTCAAAATCAGATTCATTATAGTAACCAGTATTTTATTTTTATCATTTTTTCTACACACGTTCTCTTTTTTTTTAAAAAGATGTGAATTTTAAAATTGTATGATTAGTTCTATCTTGCTTATTAATTTCAAACTTTCAACATAATAATTTTAGTTCTGTTATACAGAAAGTTCTGATCAATTGAAGATAGTAGAGAAATGAGAAATAACTACTGCCGCACAATTTTTAGAAAGCAAGCAGTATAATAATTATACATAGTTGCGATGAGGTCATCACCTAATCTAATTGATATTATAGAATTGATTTGATCGACATTGTATAAATAAAAACTTCAAACTTTTTTTTAACATTTGATTAAAAATAACCTTATGGTAATCACTACATGAAGTAAATATAAATAAGAAAAACTTAGCACAAGAAATAACAAAAAAAATAATTCAAGAAAGTAAAAGTGATATTAGCTATAAAGATGAAACGATTCTTTCATTGGCTTAATCCAATGATTATATTACCATCACGAAAGGTATTAGGTAGACGAATTCTTAAAGAAGCAACTGAGAGGGTATTAATAAATTTACTTAATAGTGCAAAAAATGATCCATTGGGTATAACACTTGCTTTTGATGGCTGAAAAAATGTATCTCGACAACATCTTCTAGGTGTTATTTTAATTGATTCTTCTGGTGATGTAATTATTTGGAAAGTAATTGATTGTAAAGGGAAAAGAGGAACCGGAGATGATATTATGCAAATTACTGAAAAGCTTTTTATCGAACTTCAACAAATGGATATTAAAGTTAATGGTTTAATTACAGATTCAGCTTCGGAGAATACTATGGCACGGTAAATTAAATATAATGAAATTTTATAATTGATTAATAATATAATAATTATTAATTAATTAATTATTATTATTATTAAGAGTAAACGTTTACGAATTTTATATCGCGAAAAGTTATTTTTACCTTGTTTTGCACATCAAATGAATCTTTGTGTAGGAGATATTTTTAAGGAATCAAGTTTTATTACTACTTTAGCAGAACAAGCCGTTGCAATAATTAATTTTTTTAATCGATCAAAAGTATGGATTGGAAAATTACGTGAAGAACAGGCTGCAATATATAAAAACAAATATTATGCATTAATTGTTCCTAATGAAACTCGTTGGAACTCTCATTATCATTGTTTTGCAAGTTTATTAAGAACAAAGTCTGCTCTTAAAGTATTTATTTTTTTATTTAATTTATTTATTATTTAATTTATATTATATTTACTAATTATATTTATTTATTAATTAATTTTTAGAATTTAGCAAATAAAATTGAAGAACAAGATGCTGATGATCTTTATGATTTTCCTGATGAGTATCTTACATATATTTCAAATAATAATTGGTGAAAGGATCTTAAGCAACTAGAAATGATTATGCTTCCTTATTGTGCTATATTAAATCAGCTACAACGTCATAATTCCTGATTGCATGAAGTGCTTTATAGTTTTGGAAATATAGTTACAGTTTTACGATCTCTTACTAATAATAATTTGAGTAAAAGACTTTTAAAAAGATTAGAAAAAAGATGGGCTGATTGGAAACAACCACTATTACTTTTATCATTTTTACTTCATCCTAAATATCATATAGACAAGTTTAATCCTGCTATTGAAAATCTTTCTTTTCCTCATCTTGGTCGGTGGGTTACTTATTATTACTGTGCTTGGTTTAATGAAGAACTAACAACACTATTGGTTGAATTAGAAGCATATAGAAAAAAAAAGTATCCATATAATGATGCTACTGTACGTCAATTTGATCAAGATATTTTAGGATTTTGGAATTATGTACATGGATATTCAAAAGAACTTTATCGTATAACAGAACGAATTTTTTCAATTGCAATAATAATAGCATCTTTAGAAAGGCATTTTTCTACAATGAGATGGTTGCATTAAAACGACGAAATCGATTAGAAGTAAGAATTTTTTTATTTTTATTTTTATAGATTAATAAATAATATATTAACAATTTATAATTTAATATTAGTCTGA